TTTTCTCCTCAGGGTCAGGGCCAGAAGCCCCAGGAGGGAGAAGGTTAGTCAGAAAATCTGGTGAGAATGCATGGAATCCCATCCCCAGAGAGCTGTGGAAGAAAGGAAAAGCCACAGCCTGCCCCCAACCCTGCTGGGTGTGACCTCTAAGCCTCAGTTTACCCTTGTCTTCTCTGTAATGTCTGCGTAGTGTCCAGCCATGCAAACTTTCCAGAATCCAACCCCACTTTCTGAATTCTGCCCTGGGTACTAGAACGCCCTCTGCAAACCCCAGATATTCCCCACATCAATGGGGCAATGAGGGGCCTCGCCCCCGGTAGGGGGCGCCTTGGGGCAGAGGTCCCTCCTCTGGTTAGGCAGGTCTAACGCCCCGGTTAATGACATGTTGGGGATCGCACAGAGGCACAGAGGAGTTTGGAGAGCTGCCCCAGTCCCCCACCCCCTACTGGCCCCCACCCCAGAGCAGGAAAGTGGGGGAGAGCGCCGGAACAGTCTCCAGAGAGACCCTGGGGGCTTGTCCTGCTACATTTCAGGGACTCAGATTCCACTATCCCCACCCCACCCCTAATTCTACCCGAAGACCTAGAGGCTTGTGGAGAAGGCAGCTGGAGGGCGGCAGGGATGGCCTCCCATTCCACTCCAGAAGCCCGAGCCTCGCATTTCTGCCCAAATCTCAGGCCTCCGATACCCCAATTTTAATTAAGGTCTCAGGCTTCCGAGAGCCCTAAATTTGAGGGACTTAGAAGTCTCAGCTCCAACGTCCCCCCGGAACCAAGGCGTCCGAGCCCCCCATTCCAAGAACCCAGGCATCCAAGTCCCCTTTCCTTTTGCCCAGTAAATCAGGATCCGAGGTTTCTCTCCTTCGAAGGACCCTAGCATCTGTTCACCCCCCTATTCCGCTCTCGGACCCAGGGTCCGAGTCCCCTCCCAGTCCTCCCAGGGACGCGAGAGTCGGGCTCCTCCAGAGCCGCTGGACCCCACGGGGGTGGAACTCACGGATCCGGGGCAGATCCTGGCGCCGGGGGACTTCCTCCGGCTCCGGCTCGGGCTTCGGGGAGCGGAGGACGGGGCGGGGCAGGCGCCGTGAACAGGTTAGACGACGTGACTCCGGCTGGAGGGAGGCGGGTCCCGGAGGGGAGGGGGAGATGGGGTCGCTTCGAGCACCTTGGGACTTGTAGTCCCAGAGGGACAGGACGCATACTGAGACTTCCCATTTGGATTGAACCCAAAGTCCATTTCACAGACTGGAAGGGCGAGGTCCAGAAGCCGAGGGTGACCTGGCCCTGTAGATAGAGTCCAGACTCCTACCTCGCAGTGGCTGCAGGAGACAGACTCCTGAGTCCCTGACCCACTTCTCCAGGAGCGTTTCCCCCTTCTTGAATAAAGATTTGGACGCCACTAATAGACGCAGAAGGTTAGAAGCTGGGGGAGATTCACATGTGGCGAGAGGCCCACCCCTAAGGCGAGAAGAGGACCTCACTAAAGCAGTGCGCCCTCAGGTCTCTGAGCTTCGATCTCCCCGTCTGTAAAAAGACCAGGATGGATCTTCACAGAATTTCCCATCAACAGCGCTCAAAGTCGGAGGCTAGGACTACAATCCCCAGAAGCTTCCGCGAAGGACGTCGGGTGCCTCCCTGCCTCGCGTCCTCTGGGAATTGTAGTCCTGGAGCCTTTAGGGGCGGTGCCCCAGTGTTTCTCCCTCCGTGGGAAACTGCCAGGCGGTTCCAGGCGAAGGTCCTTTCCCCTGACCCTCCCTGGGAAGCCTCTCACCCTGAGAAGAAGGGCGCCCCAATTTTGCACTAGGATCCGAAATCTCGGCCGAGGGCGAGGGAAGCGGCGCTGACACACCGGCCAGGAATGCAGTCGGGTCGCCCTGTCTGGCCGCCGTCCTGCGACTCCGCCCGCCGCCCCACGCGGTGCGGTTCCTGCGGGAAGGGGCGTGGACGCGTCCCCCCCCCATATCTGCGTCCACGTGCCGCTGTTTACAAATGTCCAGGGGCAGGGAAAAGGAGCTGGGCAGGGCTTGTACTCCCTTTTCCTTTCTCAGAGCCTTGGATAATGTCTCCCACGCACTAGACCAAGTCTTCAGGGGCATCTACAGGTCTCATTTGATCCACAAGCCCCACCCCTTAGCCTGCATGGACCCCTGCATGTCTCGACGGAACGTCTGGAGGCTCCGCCCCAGGACACACCGGCTCCTCCCCCCGTGTTTCCCGCTACCCTGGAGTCCAGAAGCCCCGCCCCTGGCTGGTACTTCAGTCCCTCGGGAGGAATTACCTACATTCCTCCATTTTTCTACTGCTCCCACTCAAATTCTGAACTTCCTATGCACCTGAACCTCCCTGGAAGGGGCTGAACAATGAAAGCACAGCCCTGCCAACCAAGACTCTTACCTGTCTCTTTAAGAATTTCAGACCAATTGAGCTCCCTGTCTCTTTAAGAGTTGGGGGTCCTCCCAATGTGGCCGCCCCTTTAAGAAGACGTTGGATCAAATAATGTCTGAGAGGCTGGGGTGATAGCCGCCGGGACCCGGTGAGGCTCTAACTCCCGCCAAGCAGCAAATGGCTGATTTCTGGAGCAGATTTTCGGGAAAAAAAACTTCTTCTCGGTTGTCTGCTCTGCACACGTGGAAATTTCTCCCAATTCTGCTCATAGAGCTAGCGGGTTCGCAGCGACACCCCCGCGCTTCCGTGCCACCTGGGCGCTCCCGGATGAGGCCCCACCCCTTTGGCTCCACGTGGTCGGCAGCGGGGCCGGAGCTACTGTGGCCGCTGGGTCCGTGTGAGCGGTGGGCCCCGGAATGGCGGAGGCCCTGTCCGAGGGTGCGTTGTTTCAGGGGGGGCTGACGCGGTGCAGAGAGTTGGCTGGCGGGAGGAGAGGGAAGCACCCGGGAGATTTCGGACGAAAGAAGGGACATCCCCAGAAACAGGACTGCGGAGTGCATCCCAGGGAGACGGGGGACTTCGGACGCAGAGAGGGTACCCTGGGGGTGGGGGGAAAGGGCGCCCCCAGCGGTTGGACCGGTGGAGATAGGGGCGCCTCTGGAGAACAGGCGGGGAGAAACCGGGTGAAGGGGTTGGGGCGCTCAAGCGGTTGAGACCAGTGGACCGCTGCGGGCCTTGGAGGACTGGACCAGCAGGGAAGTGTCAGCAGACGCCCATTTCCCCTTCTGCAGGTGCTGCTCGGTTCTCTTGTCCGCCCAACTTTACCGCGACGCCTCCAGCCCCGGAGCCCACTCATTTCTCCTTGGAGGTGTTGACGGGCCCGGCAACGGAACTGTGGCTTATCCAGGCCCCTGTAGACTTCGCCCCAGACTGGTGAGTCCCAGGTGGTCCCAGGACACCTCCCGGGAACGTGCCCCACCCCAGTGGCTGAGCTTGGGAGACATTTAGAGGGGTTTTTTCGAGGAACCCAGAAATGCTGCTGCTCAGCTCCTTCCCCAGTTTCACCAAAAATCTACCCAAGCTTCTGCCTTTCCCCTTCTCCTTTCAGCCTAAATGGACGGCTTGTGCCTCTCTCTGGCTCCCAGATTGTGAAGGGCAAGTCGGCAGGCAAGCGGCACCGCTACCGGGTCCTCAGTAACAGTGGCCCCCAGACTGGAGAAGCAACCTTGCTGGCTCCCTCAGCAGAGGCAGGAGGAGGACTCACCTGTGCCCCAGCCCCACAGGGCTGCCTAAGGATCTTTGAGGGTCCCCGAAAATCCTTATCAGGATTATCCTTGCAGCCTGTTCCAGCAAGGCTCCCACCAGAGATCCCCCCTGGCCTGAGGCCTCGCTTCCGTGCCTTTGGTGGAAGCCCACCGGTCACAGGGCCTGGGTCAGCCTGGGCACTGAAGTCACCAGCCTCAGGGAAGAAGAAAAAGAAGAGGCATATGCCCGAGGTATCAGTTCCTCAGGAGGCAGTGAATGGTGGGCATGGTGCCCTGGAACTAGACACAGCTTTGGGGTCCCCAGAGATGGATATGTGGAAGAAGATAAAGCAGGAGCTGTGGGAACTGAAGGTGATGGAGCCAGTGACCACGGAGCCTGCAGCTGAGCTCTGGGAACCTGCTGGCGAGGTGTTCCCATCCACCCCCAAGAAGAGGAAAAAGAAGCCCAAAGAGGCAGAAATGGGGAGGCTGGAGCCAGAAGAAAAGCCAGTGAAGCTGGAATTCAAGGTTAAAACCGAGCCTGTGGAAGAGACAGCCCTCTCCCCAACCAGGAAAAGGAAGAGGCAGAAGGGGACAGAAGGGAAGGAGCCAGCGGAAGGGATGATGGTTGAATCTCAGCTGCAGGTGAAAATGGAGCCACAGGAGGAAGCCATCCCACTGCCATCCTTGAAGAAGAAAAAAAGAGAAAAGGGGTGCAAAGTGGTGACAGAGCCAGGGACTGGGGCTGCAGAGCCAGGTATGAGACCTCTGGAGCTCCAAGGGGAGACGGTGGTGCCTGAACGGCCACAGGAAGTGGAGCCCCAGGCTGAGGTAGCTCTGGTATCTGCCAAGAAGAAGAGGAAGAAAGAAAAATGGCAAAACACAATGATGGCACCAGGGACAGAGGTGATGGAGCCACAAGAAAAGGTGATGGAGCCTGAGCTGCCAGGTGGCCTTGGGCCACAGTCAGCTCTAGCATCCACCAAGAAGAAGAAAGAAAGAGGCTGCAAAGCGCCAGCGCCAGAGATGATTGACCCACAAAGTGAGATGATGGAGCTTAAGCTGCCAGAGGAGGGTGAGCCTGAGGCCCAGGCGCATCCACCATCCACCAAGAAGAAGAGGAAGCGGGCCCGGGAAAGTGGGGCGCCAGAGACAGCACCCCAGGACGAGATGCCAGAGGTACCCCTGAAGCTAGAGTCGGGGAAGGTGGCTCCCACAAGACAGGAGAAGCAGCAGCAGAAGAAACTGCAGCAGGATTCTGTGTAGTCTCCTTTGGGGACACTGATGGCTGTGCCTGAGACAAGCGGAAGGTGGCCCCGGGGCACCACAAGGCAGGCAGAGGAGCCTCCTCCCATGACCACACCAGCAGGAGTCTGGACTAGAAAAATGCTTTATTAACACACTGCAGGCTTTCCTTCCAGTTGGGGTCATTGGGGCACCTTCAAGAAGGGCTCGTGTAGGACATCAAATAGCCTCCGGGCCTGGGTGGGAGGGAAAAGAACAAGGACCCGGTCATTAAATCAGCCATGTGTTTGATGCAACCTGAAGGAGCTTCTGGCCCTTTTACTCCCAGCTCGGAGGGGGCTCTGGTGGTTAGGGGAGAAGTAGCCCAATCTGAATTCCATCCCAGACACTGTGTGAGGCTGGGCTGGTTCTTACCCTCTCTGGGCCTTGGTTTTCCCCATCTGTAGGGGAAGTATGTTGGACCTTCCCAAACCTTAGAACTTGGGGATCTGAGATCCCACTTATTTGGGGCTCCCTCCTTCCACTGACCCATCAAGCTCATTCTTACCTTCTGGGGCCCCAGGCCCGGGCACAAGGCCAGATCTTCTCGCGACGCAGCTATAAGCTGTTCCAGAGACTAAGGAAGGTGGGAGTAAAGGCTCAGGGGAGGTGAACTCAGAACTCTGCCCTGCCCGGGCTGATCAGAAGTCTGAGGTGGTCCTGCAAGGAGTTGAGGTCCTGTGGGTGGGGTGGGGGGAGGGGAGGGAAGGATGGAGGCAGGCAGGAAGGTGGAGGGAAATGGGGCTTCTTTGAAATGCTTGTTGCGACAAGGGAATGTTCCATTTTTTTACCCCAAAAGTAGCCAGGAGGGTCTGACTGTCTGTTTTGTTGACAGACTTCACGGTGGTCAAACATTCAGTCACCTGGAAGGGGAGGCAGAGGCAGAGGTGTATTGGGAGAACAAAGGAGGACTGAGTGGTGAGGGCAGCGCTGGGTCCCTGCAGGGTCCCTAGACTGTCCTGCATGCAGGAGATGCCGAATAAATGCCTGTGGGTTTTTTCGATTGGTTAAAAGATCATCTCAGAGTGATGCCCAATTAGCTGAGATGGTGTCAGTAATGTTATGAGAAATGCTGTTTATCGTGAGCTAGTTCTGCCCAGGTGAAGACTAGGCTTGGGAGTCAGGCGCAGGTTCAAAACCAGGCCCCACTGCTTACTCCCTGTGAGACCCTGGGCAAGGGAATACCTTTCTGGTCCTACTTTCGGGTAAATGGGTATTCTAATACTACCCACCTTGTGGTGGCTGTGGACATCCACTGTTACTCTATCATTGGAGCCCAGATTTAGCAATTCACTCAGCAGAGGCTCCCTGAGCTCCCACTGAGGGTTGGATGATGCTGGAGACAAAACAGGGACTGAGGCAGCCTGGGGCTCCCAGTCCACTGCAGGAGACAAATCTGCTCCAGACAGGTAGGGCTGGGGGAGCCCAGAGGGGCACTTGACCTGGTCTGGGATATGGGAGAACTTCCCAGAGGAGGGGGCATCAGAGCTGAGCTGTGACTGCTGGGATTAGGCAGGTAATGAGGCAGAGGGGAGAGAACTGGCACACAGAGGGGTGAGCTAGGCCTGGGAGATGTGACAGAATGCAAGGCCAGGGGGCAAACAGGGCTGTCAGACCAAAAAGGCTGGGCCTCAGAGAGCATGGGAAGGCAGCTAGGCTTCCCCTGAGGGCCCTGGGGGGGCCAGGATCTGCTGTGTGGGTGGGAGAGCAGCTCCCACTGGGTGACTGGAAGCTGAGGCTGGGAATGTGGCAAAGAGATCTTACTTGAGATCAGAACTGAAGCTCAGGCACCCAGGAGGGAGCTAGGGGAGGCCCAGGAGGGAGGTGAGGGGGCCTCACCCGGGACACAAAGTCCTGCTCCAGCTTCTCCATCAGCAGGTCTGCTGGCTTCTGCTCGTAGGCCTTGTAGGTCTCCAGGTATCTCCCGGCCTCCTCGGGGCTGGGGTGAGGGGGGTCATGATTTAGATTCATTTCATCGTGGCAATATAATTGCAGGTGTTAACAATTCCAAACTTTATTACAGAGGAAAATGACCGTTCTCAGCCATCCCCTTACCCGCTGGTGGTAACCCCTGCTAGGCACATCTTTACACATCTTTCTGGCTAATGGCCAGAGCTTGGGAGCCTGACCAGTTGGATTCAGGTTCCATTTCCCACCTGAGTGACCTGGACCGGTGATTTTCTCTCTCTGGGCCTCAGTTTTCTCATCTGTAAGGAGGAGTGGGTGGTAGAACTATGACAATTAAATGAGTCAACCCTCTAAGTGTTCAGAATCTGGCATGCCAATTAGAAGCCTGTTTAAGGAATGTTCGCTGTTCAAGTCGGGAAGTCAGCACACAGCATTCGTACAGCATTTGAGAGAGAAAAAAACAGAAACGCTTTTCCCAATAGCAGGAAGACAACCTTAAGAGGCATTCAGCTCCCACCACCAGGAGAGCTGGCGCTTCCGAAGGGGTTTAATACGGCACCCTCAAGAGAAAAACTAGGGGCGCTTACTTCTGAATCTTATGTAGCAACTAATATAATTTAGTAATCGCCATTAATTTCCACACAAGGCACTGTTTCTTGACATGTAATCGACTGTTTCAAAAGTAGTTGAAACAACTGAATCATAAAGGTCTGCAGAGTAAATGTGTGCAGAGGAAAGTAACTCAGTTTATTGGCCCCTGGCAAAAGCTGGCCTGTCTCTTTGGAACTTGAGAATAGGGAACTGAGTTGAAGTAAATAAAGTATTTGTCTTGAGGCATTTTCTTAGCCATCAAAGTTCAGCTAGCAAGCAATTTTTGTTGATTAAATGACAATTTATGTTCTTGAAAGAAACACTGATTTTTCTAATTCTATTTTTCCCTATACGATAGGCTTTACCACATCTCTCAATGCGGAAGGGGCCATTGTTGTTGTTGTTGTTAGCCATTTTTTCAGGACTCAAGTTAGCACACTACGTCCAGTTCCACAATTGTTCACCTTTGTGCCATGCAATATGATTGGGACATCTTTCCACATCCACAGATGGAGCTTCACTTCATTTATTTAAAGGTTGCAAAATATTCCATAGTTCGATGTAAAGACAGAAAATATTTCCGTTGTGGGGCCACTGTCCTAACGCTTTATGTTCAGAAGGTTCTGGACTCCCCCGAGAGATCCTATAAGGCAGTTACTATGTTCCAACTATTATACAGAAGGGGAAACAGACCAGCAGGGTTGAGCCACTTGCCCAAGATCACACAGCTGGCGAAGAGGAGGGACAACACCCTCAGTGGTCTGTTTCAACCAGCCAGGCTTGTAACGCTGCACTGTGCTACTTCCCACAGAAAAGAGTAATTTTAACACTTGCTTTTGTTTTAATATACAAGTAATACCTAAGTACATTCTTTCAAATAGTCAAACAGTTGAGAGGTACACACACCGAGGGAGGGCACAGATTTACAAAGACATTTACCCTTTGGCCTGAAATCCCACTCCTAGAGCTCAGAGCAGGAGCGGGAGGGTGGCTGGCCACAGTGAAAGACAGGAAGCTACCCAAGGGCCCACCGACGGCCTAGTGACCTGCTCCACCCACACGACGGTATCTGCTGAAAAGGAACGTGGATCCAAACAGTGGGATTATTCAGCAATACAAAATGAGCTACCGAGTCATGAAAAGGCTGGGAGGAACCTAAAAGCATTATCACTGAGTGAGTGGGGCCAATGTGCAAAGGCTATTGGGAGATAATAGAAAATACTGGTATTTTGTGGTCTCTGACACTGGTTCCTGGTAGAGCTCTTGAAACCCTCATAAATTCCTAGGTGATGAGAGCATTATGAGCATCTTTTGTTCTATGGAGGTGACTCTGTGAGCTCCTGCGTGACTCCTGGATGGGGGCTGATAATCAGAAAGTCCAAGTCATGATTAGGAGCCTGGAATTTTCAGCCCCACCTACCCAACCTTCAGAGAGGGAAGAGGGGCTGGAAATGGAGGTAATAATCGATCATGCCTCTGTAAGGAAGCCTCCATAAAATCCCAATTGTACGGGGCTGGGAGAGCTTCCAGGCCAGTGCATACATCCACACTGCAAGGGTGACACACCCCAGCTCCGCAGGGACAGGAGTGCCTGTGCTCAGGAGCCTCCCAGGCCTCGCCCTGTGTCTCTCTTCACCTAGTTGTTCACTGTATCCTTTATCATAGCATTCAGTAAACTAATAAACCCAAGTGTTTCCCTAAGTGCTGTGGGTCACTCTAGCAAATTAATGGAACTTGAGAAGGGGTCACTGGCACCTCCGATCAGCCAGGGGACAAGCAGCTTGGGTGGCAATTGCCTGGCTTGCGATGTGAAGTGTGTGCGGTGCGGCCGTCCTGTGGGACTGAGCCCTTCACCTGTGGGATCTGACGCCATCTCCAGGTAGACAGTGCCAAAATTTATGTAGGACACCCAGCTGGTGTTGCAGAATTGCTTGGTATGAGGGGGGGAAAGAAGACAGTGGGGGGCCAGAAGTGAAATGTTTTGTGTGAGTAGTCAAGGAGACTCCCTGGACAAAGAGCCCCAGTGGGGAAGAAGGGCTCTTCCCTGCACACAAGGGTTCTTCTGTCTCAGCTACAGACACCATGACTCCAACCTTATGATATTCTGGAAAAGGCAAAACTCTGGGGACAGTAAAGAGATCAGTGGTTGCCAGGAGTTAGAGGGAAGGAGGGAAGAATTCTGCAGGGCAGTGAAATGATTCTGCATAATACAGTAATCATGGACACGCCATGCCTCCCTTTGTGTCAAGCCCCATAGAGTGTACAACACAAAAAGTGAACCCTAATGTAAACTATGGACTTCAGTTAATAATAGTAATAATCATCTATCCATATTGGTTCATCAGCTGTAACAAATGTACCACACTAATTAGTGCAAGATAGGAATAACAGGAGAGGCTATGCAGGGGATGAAGGGGTATGTGGGGACTCTCTGTATTTTTCCATCAATTTTTCTATAAACTTAAACCCCGCCCCCCAAAAAAACCCTTAAAGCTCTAAAAAAAAGTCTGTTAAGTTTTTTTTAAATGGAGACACTATATTGGAATTCTACATAACTGTAAAAAAAGATGGGGGCTGCTCTCTATACTGATAAAAAATTTACTCCCTTCCTGATAAGTTATATGATTGATAATATTTTCCAGTGTTTTGGGAACCTGCCTTACATTATTTTCAACAACGCAAGGCGCCAAACAGTATATACAATATGCTTACTTCTAAGAAAGGAAGAAAAATTAGATGTTTTCACACACACTGGGCCTTATAAAAACATTGGGAGGTAACAAAAAAACAACAACAGTAGTTGGGGGAGCGGAGCTGGAGAGAAGGAGTAGAAGAGAGACTTCTTGGTGCGTATGCTGCTGTCTACCTTCAGTCAGAAATCCACGTATAATTTTGGACTCCCCCAAAAATGTAACTACCAACAGCCTACTGTTGACCAGAAGCCCCACCAGTAACATAGTTAACATATTTTTTTGTATGTTATATGTACTACATATTGTACTCTTATGTTAAAGAAAACTAGAGAAAAAAATGCTTTTTCAAATTGTCACAAGTCTCAACAAAAATCTACTATTACATGTACATATGTTAAATGTACTTATAAAATACATACTAAATATAAAAATCTGCATGTAAGTGGACCTGCACAGTTCAAACCTGTTGTTGGAGGGCCGTTTTTATATTCTGATTTTTGAACTACAGAACATCTTACTTCTTCTTCAATGAAACCATTTTATATTCAGAAGAAAAACAGAAGCACAGAGAGTAAAAGCCCCCGCCTCTCGGTGCTTACTCCTCATACCCGCCCCAGAGGTCGTTTCCCGGAGCCTGGAGCCTATGCACACCCCACGCGGCTGATCCAGGTACTATCTGTTCGTAAACACGTTCGTTTTCCTCCCTTTTACATATAAATAAACATAGGCTGCCATTTGGTTCTGCAACTTACTGGCTCTCCCGAATCCATGCTGCAGTGCCGGCCCACAGCTTGGGGGGTTTGCTTATACAAGCAGAGAAAATCGAAAAGGAGAAATTCCCTTCCGTGTCAAAGAGCCGTGTCTATTTTCTGTTTTACTGGCCAATCAAGTCTCCCCTCCCAGCCAAACATGCAGGCATCCACTTCATATGAACTATCCTGACGTTTCCACCAATCAATGGGTGAAAACTGACACGTGCTTTTTTAAAATGTACCTTTTTCCTGATAAGCTATATGCTCAATAATTTTTTCAGGCATTTTTGACAACCTGCATGAGAATTTTTAAATTGGGCTATCTTTTTCTTACTGACTTGTAGGAGGTTCTTAATATGTATAAATATATAATATATATGTTTAAATAAATTCAAATGAATATAAGCATTGAAATATATTTCTACTGTATTATTTATATATATATATATATATACAAATTAGGGATCTTAAGTCTTTGTTAAACATAGCAAGTGCTTTTTTTTTTCTTAGTTTTCTCACTTGTCTTTAACTTTATTTACAGTATCTTAGCATCCAGAAGTTTTAAAATTTTAATGTTCTCAGTGGCTTCTGGGTGTTGGGTCTTGCTTTAGAAGACTTCCTATCCCAAGATTATAAAAAATAGTCTCCTGTAAGATTTCTTGGAACACTTTTACTGTTCTTCTTTATATGTTTATCATTTTGTAGTACTTTTTACAGTGTGAGGAAGGGATGTCTTTTTTTCCAATTAGGGAGCCCATCTAACAGTCCTTAGAAACCTAGACATGGGATTTATTATTCAGCCAGACTTTATATCAAACACATAAGTGCCTAGGTTCTGGGAATTTGATCTACATCACCTGCTTTTGTGCCTACGAGCCTACAAGAGGATAGTAAAACCCCATTTTATGGAAGAAGAAATTGAGAGCCCAGGGAGAGGCAGTACCTGGACCGGGCCGGGCTCACAGAGGGAGTTCACGGAAGGAGGAGGGGAGGGCTGGAAAGTGGGGAGGAGGTGGGGAGCTGACACCCAGGATAGAGCCGACCTGGGCAGGGAGCCTCGATCTCACCTCCAGGCAAGGACTAGGGTGCAGTCAGCCAGGATGCACATCTTGGCCAGCTCCTTGAGGGCCTGCTGAGGATCTTTCTGGGTGAAGAAGAAAATCAGAATCAGAGCTCTGGAAGAAAGCAAGGATGTAGCTTAGGATGCCAAGAGCCTTCCACTCAACTGACACTCTGTAAGCTCCAACTGAGTGCCTGGCCTGTGCTGGGTAATGTCGAGACCCAGCAATAACCCAGACAGCCCAGGCTCTGCCCTCTGGGGCTCACAGTCTGATGAGAGGGACAGACCTGTCCCCAGACAGTGATGACCCAGAGTGGCCAGGGCTGCAGCGGGGGAGGCTGAGGAACATCTGACCTGTCTGGGGGATCAAGGAAAGCTTCCTGGAGGAGGAGACATCTGAGCTGAGATCTGAAGGAAGTTGAGGAGTGAAGGAGACAAAAGGGAGCAGAAAAGGCAATTCCAGACATCAGGAACAGCATGTGCAAAGGATGGGAGGGGAAAGAAGGCTTGAGGGATTGTAGCTTACTCAACATCAGAAGGAGGATGTAAAAGAAAATATGACCACATGGAACCTTAGAAATGAACCCAGAAAAAAAAAAAAAAACAAAGAAATGAACCCAGAGAGTTAGGCAGGGCCTCATGGGCCACAGAGGGCACTGAGGAGCCACGGAGGTGTTTGGGCACCAGATCTGTGCTTTAGAAGACTTTCTGGCTGCAGTAGGATGGGAGTGTCCTACTAGACGGAGTTCAGGAGATAAGGCAAGAGGGTGGAGCAGGGGACAAGGGGGAGCGGAGGGGGCCTGGATTGGGGCTGGGCTGTGAGAGAAAACAGATTCAAGTAATATTAGGTGGCCGAGGGCTGGGATTAGCCACAAAGGAGGTGTAGAAGGTGGAGATGGATAAAATCTTGCCCTCCCACCTCCTTGCCAACACTGGGTGTCAATCTCAGATGTGAAAAACGGTTCCTCACTGAGGTTCAATTTGCATTTCTCCTTGGAAGGGATTCAACAGTCCCCTTGGCTAATGCAAGGCTAATGCTCCCCATTTCACAGATGGGGACACTGAAGCTGGCGGGGAAGTGACCCCTGCTTACCACGTCCACCTGGACGAGCAGGACCCGCAGGGCGAAGCTCTTCCCCAGGCTCTGCAGCCGCTCATGGATGTAATCTGGGTGGAGGTTGTGGTAGCGGAGGCTGGGGGGCAGGGGAGAGGCAGGGATTGAGAGGCCTCTGTCTCCCCAGGAGCCCAGGAGCCCTTCTTCACTCTCATCGGGACGCAGAGGGATTGGGAGGCACGGAGGACAGCTTGGCCAGGACCTGAGGCTCAGAGAACTTGAGACTTGCCCAAGTTCATCCTTCAAGGAAGGGGCACAGCAGGGATTGGCAGCGACTGCTGCCTGGCTCTGGCTCTGGGACGGTGGACCCCAGGTTCTTCACTGAGGAGGGGAGGCTTGGGCTTCTGGTGCAGAACAGGAGGACCAGCGCTCTAGGGTGTGTTCTGGGGGACGCTGCACAGCGGGGCTTGGGAAGCGGGGCCCATTCCTAGGCCTGTCGGCTTTGGCCTCAGAGGGCGCTACAAGGGAAGGGTAGAGTGGCTTCTGCACCCGAGGAACTAGGAGACACCTCTGCCCAGCAGCCACCAGCTCTCATACCCTGCAGGGAGGGCAGGCACTTCGAAGTTTCACTTCCCCCATCTGGCTCTGTCTAGGCAAGGGCCCCAAGAGTGGAGAAGGAATTTATTTAAATGGACTGAAGATAAAAGAAATCCTGGCTCTTGTCAACCCCAGCCCTGAATGTCTGGGACACGAGTTACCCAGGCCCCAGTTCAGCCCAACCCGGGAGTCCAGGCTCCCAGCGTCTCCTCCCTCACACCCAGGGGCTGGGTGCTCGGGGCACCTCCAGACCCAGGCCTCTTCCTCCCACTAGGAGGTGCAGCCAGAGCCATGCCAGAGGTCTCCTGCCGCATGGCCCAGAAAGCCTCCAGGCCTGTCTGGAGGGGGGCCGGCCGCCAGAGCTCACCTGAGGAAGAGCGCACAGGTGCTCTGGCCCAGCACATAGTCGGGGAGAACGTCACCAAATTCCCAGGGCACGTTGCGCACAAACTTCAGCACAGGATTGCCCCTCTGGGGATGAAGTTAGGGCTGAAGCCATTAACAGGAACTTGGAGGCCCCTGCTGCCCCAGGGCCACCCTCCTGACCTCTCTCAGCGCCTCCCTGCCCCCTCCTGCCTCGCACCTGGGCCTTCTGCAGGCAGCTTCGCTCTGCTATTCTCCCAGCCTCCTCCTCAGCCTGGAGGGTCCTGGACGCTCCGGCTCCGTCCCAGGCCCTTTCCCACTGGCCCGGAATAACTAAAGGGTCCGTGGGTGTGTCTCCAGCTCAGCCTCTCACCCCGCCCCACAGAGGCCCTGGGTGTCCTTTGGTCCACTGGACACCTCCCCTGGGACGCACCTAAGGCTTCCCAACTGCCCTCAGCTCTGGCCCCCACACTGCTCCTCCTCCTGGCCCCAGCTCAGGTTCAGCCTCACCACCCAGAGACTGGGGGTGCACACTCCCTCACCCCCTGATCCTCCACAGGGGATGCCTGCCATCTAAGCATCTTCCATGAGTGTCTCCCTCTCCACTGCCATAGCCCCAGGCCCCTACCCCACCTCCGCCTGGTCTCCTGCGCCAGTGGTGTTCCCTCCTGGCCACCCTCCAAACAGTAACCAGAGGGCTCTTCCTAAAGCACAAACCTGTCCCCTCTCCTGCTCTAAACCCAGTGCCTGTGGGGGGAAGCTTCAACATGGCCTGTGACCCTCCACAGGTCAGGTTCCCCCCAGCCTGGTGTCTGTTCTGCAGCCTCATTTCTTTCACCCTCTACGTTGAACAGACCCTGTAGCCCAAGACCAAAATTCTCTGAGCAAGTCAAGCTCTAATCCAGCAAATAAGTACTTACTGAGCACCTACTGTGTGTCTAGGCACTGGAGACACAGAAGTGATCAAGGCAAACAAAAATCCCTTACCCCATGGGGGACACAGACATTAAGCAAAATCTAAGGAATGAGTATGTCATCACCAAGTGAAGTGGAATTTGGTTCTACTAAGACGGTGGGACCTGCTCTCATAACGGGATGTGGGTTGGTCAGAGCAGCTGAGGCAGGAAGGGTTTGCAGGGCCTGAGCCATCTGACCTGGGCACCAGGGAGCCAAGGAAGGACTTTGAGCAAAGGAGAGGCAGGATGCTACTTTAATTTTTTTTTTTTTCAACAAGAAAAAGGTGCTTTATTGCCAGGGTGGAGTGTTTGGGATTTTTGTTTGTTTGTTTGTTTGTTTTGAGAGGGCATCTCTCATATTTATTCATCAAATGGTTGTTAACAACAATAAAATTCTGTATAGGGGACTCAATGCACAATCATGAATCAACCCCAAGCCTAATTCTCAACAATCTCCAATCTTCTGAAGCATAACGAACAAGCTCTTCCACAGTGAACAAGTTCTTACATGGTGAACAGTACAAGGGCAGTCATCACAGAAACTTTCGGTTTTGATCACACATTATGAACTATAAACAATCAGGTCAAATATGAATATTCGTTTGATTTTTATACTTGATTTATATGTGGATCCCACATTTCTCCCTTATTTTTTTTTTTTTTAGTAAAATGCTGAAGTGGTAGGTAGATGCAAGATAAAGGTAGAATAGATAATTTAGTGCTGTTACTTTAATTTTCAAAGGACTATTTTGTCCACTTCACACCCACTAGAATGGCCAGAATCATAAAGACAGATGATGACAGGTGGTGAGGATATACAGAAATTGTACCTTCACGTACTGCTGGTGGGATTGTAAGATGACACAGCATTTTAGAAAACAGTGTGGGGGTTTCTGCAAAAGTTTAACATGGAGTTGCCACATGACCCAGCAAATTCACTGTGAGGTACATACCCAAAAGCGAAAGCATATATGTACACAAAAACCTGTCCACAGACGCTGACAGCAGCGTTTTCACAGTGACCCAAAAGTACAAACAACCCAGCAGATTGTCCATAGCGGAGAAACAAAATGTGGCGCATTGCCCAGCAGAATACTATTCAGCAATGAAGCAGCGAGAGATGCTACAATGTGGAGAAGCCGAGAAAGCACCTTGCTGAGTGAAAAACAGCCACACGCCGGCGGATAAGACATTTGATTTGTTCCCACTTTGTGGTACTGTGAATAATGCTGCTGTGATCACATGTGTATTGGATTTTGTGTGGACGCATATTTTCCTTTTTCTTGGATGGACACCTAGGAGTGGACTTGCTAGGGCATATGGCAACTGCTTAAACGTTTGAAGAACTGCCAGACCATTTTCCAAAAGGGCTGTAACCGTTTCCCTTCCCACCAGCGGGGTAGGAGGTTTCCCATTTGTTCAGAGCCTTGAACGCCTTGTGCTGTCTGTGCCTTGGAATCCAGCCATAGTACTAGCCAGGTGGGAAGTAGTGTCTCATTGTGGTTGTGATTTTTTTTTTTTTTGCATTGTGGTTTTGATTTGCCTTTTCCTGATGGCTGATGATCCTGAGGATCTTTTCCCATTCTTGGGTCCTATTCTTAGCTTTGTATACTGCGGCTCCTCCCAGCTCCGTCGATGGCAGACTATCAGTTTCCCTCTCCTCTACTGCCAGAGCCTAGGCCACCACCTGACAACCTCTGACCATAAAACGAAACCCCATTTTAAAGGCACAGATGGGCTACGCCACTTGCCCAAGATCATGCCGCTACTGTGTGGCAGAGCAGAATTTGAACTCTGGCCTGTGTTCAATAGTTTTCGAATGAATGAACAGACCTGGGGCCAGGAGCCAGGAAACTGAACTGCACTAACACAGGCATACCCTCAGCAAGAAGAGTCAGGGTGTCACGGACTGAGTGTCTGTGTCCCCCGAAAAGTCACATGCCAAAATCCGAGTCCCTAATGGCTTTAGCTGGTGAGGGGAGGTGATAAGGTCATGAGATCAAAGCTTCATGAATGGGATTAGTGCCCTCATAAAAGAGACCCCAGAGAGCTCCCCTGCCCCTTCCTTCACTATAAGGACACAGTGAGAAGACAGTGGTTTATGATCCTCCCTAACACCCAATCTGCTGGAGCTTTGATCTTGGATTTCCCAGCCTCCAGGACTGTAAGAATGGAATGTTTGTTGTTTAAGTGCCCCAGTCCATGGTATTTTTGTTATAACAAAATAAAAAGACAGGGACACCCCTCAGCCCACACAGGTTGACTGGATGAGTGTAAGAACATCACAGCCAAGAACACAGCTGGAACTCAGACCTCCTTCAGCTGCCCACTGGAAAGCCATCCCCATCACCACATCTCCCACCAGAAACCTCAAAGCCCCACTTCTCCAGCCCTCCTCACCTGCCGGGGGCTCACAATGATGCTGTTGGATTTTGCCCCCGGTTTGGGGGCTTGGTGAGGGGTCTCTCCTGCCACGGGTTCTCGGCCGGACTGATGCATGGCTCCAGCCCCTCCTGGAGGTCCCGAGATGGCATACTCAGCGTAGGTCTGAGGCACTGTCTGAGGGCAGGTCTCCCTGGTAGGAAGGCTCCGTGTGGATTTGAATAAGGGTTTTGCCTGTGGGGAGAGAAGGGTGAGGTGAGGGATCAAAATCTGAACCAGCCGCTTCTACCCCACTCCTCAGCCGCTACCCTGGTCCCAGCCACCATCCTCTCTCCCTTGGGCCACTGTAGTCACCTCACCATCTCCCTGCCTACACTTACCCCCCGGTCTGTCCCACATTGTCACACCATGTCCCTCCTCTGCTCAGAGCCCTTAGGTGGCTCCTGCCATAGAGTAAAAGCCAAAGCTGTCACCACAGCCCTAGAGGCTCTAGGCCTGTCCCCACCTCCTTGCCTCAGGGACCTTTCCTCCTATTTCTCCCCCTTTCCTTTCTCTATCAGCCCCACTGGCCTTTTTGCTGCTCTCACATTTCTCAGGCTCTTTCTGATCCCAGGGCCTTTGGACTGTCTGTTCCCTCTCCCCACAATAGCTCATTCCCTCACCTCCTTCACGTAGCTGCCAAGATGTCACCTCCTCAGAGAAGCAGTCCCTCAATCATCCTACCTAAGGTAGTGCCTCACCCCATCACACCCTATATCCTCAGCCCACTTTCTTTCTCTTCATAGCAGATAGGTAGATGCCAGGACTCAGTGCCAGCCAACTGTTTTCCTGCAGAAATGAGATCTCAATGTTGCCAGATCCTTCTATTTGCCAAAAGATGTCAAAAACGCACTTCTTTTTCAATTTGCAAAACCTTCCAATTCTAAAGTGTTAGCAATAAATTCATGCCTTGCAAAACCAGGGTGCTGGCTGCACAGAAGACACTCGCTGGTGGCCAGTTTATGGCCTCTGCCCTGGTCCTCTCTTAGAACCACCATGACATGTACGGATAGGGAAACAGACCTGCAGAGAGGAAAGGAGTGTTCTCCCAAAGCGACCCAGGCCCCAACACTTTCTAACCCACACGGTCCCTTCCCGACAAAACCGCCAGCCTCGCGGTGGTTCCCCCCATCTCCTTGTCCTACCCCGGGAGGAGGGACCTCATCTTCGTCCAATGGTATGTGGAATTTCTTTCTTGAGGGTGGCCCAGCGGGCTGCCGCACTCTCTCTGCGTCCATCCCAAGGTTCTTCTGGGGTCTGAAAATGAAGACGCGGCGGCAAGGAGGGAGGGAGACCTCAGCGTCTGCATTCCCGCCCCCGCAGCACGAAGCCCCGCACACGGTCACACCCCCTCCCAAAAAAACCCAGGGCTCCGTAGCATCAGGCTCCAAACACCCAGTTCCTCCCCCTTTGGCTCGCCCCGCCCCTTACCTGTTCTCACCTTCCCCCTCGGGCCCCTTGTTCTAATTCGCCCCGCCCTCACTGTTCCCAACCACCATTTGCCCCGCCCTACCACCCCTCTGTTCTCCCCGTGCAGCAGTGGCACCCGATGCCCTCCCCTTGCTCCATCTCGTCCATAGCTCAGATACTGCAGTGATTGATTGGCTTCCCCGGCTGCCAGTCGCCACTGGTGGTCTCCACCCCCGACCTCCGAGCACCAGCCAACACCCCGGGAGAAACACTGGAGAGGGAGCGAGGCGTCCTACCGTCCGCGCAGCCAGCGAGGCCCCAGGCTAACCACACTTCCGGCCTCTCTAGCCCTCGAGTCCGCCCCCACCGTTCCCCAGAGGAGTAGAGCATCGAGAGGGGCTGGCCCGCGCAGTTCTCTATGGTCTTGGAGGACTGCCGAGTTATGGGTTGTAGAGAACTGTCGGTCTACCGGCCTGAGTTCCTCTGGCTGCCAAGATACTCAACAGCAGTTCTCTTACTGAGCGCCTTGTGTGCATCGCCCCCGGACAGGGTCCTGTGAAGAAGAAATGGTGGGCGATCAAACTAAGTCCCTTCTCTCAGTACAGACTTGGGTTTGAATACCAGTTCTGCCATTGGCTTGGCGTCGGTTTCCTCATTCATTAATTCATTCGTTCAGTTCATTTATTCCACACACATTCCTCTTGAGCCTCCGTTCCCGGCCCTGTGCGGTGCAGTGCTAGTGACACAGAGGTGACCGATGTTAACGATAGCCCTATGATGCCCTCCTGGAGCTCACAGACCACTGGAGAGACAGAGACCCCTTCCCAAACAGTGACGACCCAGAGTGGGCAGGACTGGAATAAGAGACCCCAGAGGGTAAAGGAAGGTATTGAGGGAGAGGGCACCTTACGCAGCCCGAGGGTTAGGAAGGGCTTCTTTGGAGAAAGGGACATCTGAGCAGAGACCTGGTTGATGCGTTAGTATTAGTCATTTCCTGAAAGGATAATATCACGCTGTTCTAACTTGCAACTCTCTGATTACTAAGGAGAGAGAACATCTTTTTACGAGTTTATTGGTCTTATATAGTATGTCTTCGGGGAATTGCTTGCTCATATCCTTTGTCCATTTTTAAAATGGGATTATATGCCTTTTTTATTAATATTAATTTGTAAGAGTACTTTACAGATTAGGATTCTACTTAGTCAGTTACATATATTCCAAATAGTTCCTCCTGATTTGTACTTTGTATTTTAATTTTACATCACACAGAAGTTCTCAGTGTTTATTCACACCTATTTATCAATCTATTCTGTCCTGACTTGCTTTAGGTGTGTTGTTTAAGAGGCCTACCATACCCTCAAGGTGATAAATATATTCCATCATTATGTTTATACTTCCTAAATCTTTATTTTGTTTGTCTTTAATACATACGAAGCTTATTTTTGAAAATGCATTAAGGTAGGAATTTATGATGGATGTAGCCAGTTGTCTAAATGCCATTTATTTTCAACTTTCCCCAGTTTTGATATTTATCCTTATCATGTACTAAATTCCCATATATAGAAAAGTCTATCTTGGACATTGCTATTGTGTTTCATTGATCTCTGTGTCTGTTCCGTGCTTCTATGCCATATTGTTTATTTTATTTTTATATGTCTTGATCGCACATCAGGCAAATCCCCCCTTTGTTCAATTTCCAATCTCTTTACCATTCTTGTACCTTTTCTCCTCTAGATGGATTTTAGCAGCTGCTTTTCTACTTCCATGAAAAATCTAGTTGAGGTTGAGATTGAGATTGGAATTGCATTGAACTGATTCATTAATTACAGGAAGGTTGACATTTTTTTCATATCTGTGAATATATTATCTCACCAGTGACTGTGGCTTTTGGTAGGAGCCTACTGTAAATATTTTTTTCTAAATAATTTTTATTTATTCAGCTGATTCACTAACACATTTTTGTACTAGTCTCCTAGGACTTCTGTAACAAAGTACCAAAAACCGGGTGCCCTAAACAACAGAAATTTATTGTCTCACAGTTCTGAAGCATAGAAGTCCAAAGTCAAGTTGTTGGCATGACTCTGTTCCCTCTCAATGAACAAGGGAAGGATCTCTTCTAGGCCTCTCTCCCAGCTTCTGGTAGCCCCAGACATTCCTTGACTAGGAATGGCCTAGTAAATGGCCACCTTCCCCAGGTCCTTTCACATCATTTTCCCTCTGTGTGTGTCTCTTTGTCCAAATTTTCCCATTTCACAGGGACACCAGTCATATTGGATTAGGGCCCACTCTAATGACCTTGTTTTAACTTGATTAGCTCTATAAAGACCTTGTTTCCAAATAAGGTCACATTCTGAAGTACTGGGAGTTAGGACTTCAACATATCTTTTTTGGGGAGACACGATTCAACCCATAACAATTCTGTTACTTTTTATAACCTTCTTCCTTCTGAATTCATCTTACTTCTTGCCAGAGTGCATTCTCTTTTAATTCTTTCAGAGAGCATTGGGGATGATAACTTTCAGAGTCTTACTCATCTGAAAATACCCTTACTTCAATCTCATAATTGGAATCTCAAATTCTGGGTTCCTAGTTATATTTCTTGCAAAGTGAGAAGATACTAGTTCTCTATCTCCCCAGCTTCTTGGTCACTGATGAGAAGTCTACCATGCCCCTGACTCTCCTTCCTTCATAAACAGTCCCATCCCTGGGTGCAATTTTCTCCCATGGTCACTTATTGACAGTATAGACTTGTGCCAGCAATTCAGCTTGTCTGTGTGCGTCAGTTTTCTCACCTCTAAAATGGACATAACAATCCTATAATTATTAGGAGGATGGCATGAGTTAAGTGTAAAGTATCTAAAACAGTACTTGGTATACAGTAGGTGCTATATTTGGGTTTGTCATATGAATAAAATAGCCCTTTGAGCAAGTTCTGGGCAAGCAGGGGCTGAAGCTACTGTGGCCACAGCTGGATCACAGTGGCCCCCAAACAGAAGGGGCTGCCAAACTGTGCATTGTATGAAAGAACAGCAAGAGACTTCACCGCTGGGAGCCTCAGTTTCCCCATCTGTAACTGCTGAGGTCGTGAGGAGTCAGTAAGACCAGAGAGAGATGGTTCACGCTTTCTTTGAATAACCACATATTGAGCTCTTAGTATGTGCCGGGCACTGGGGACATAGCTCTGGGCAAATTAGGCCAGGTCCCTGCCCCGTGGAGCTGATGGTCTCAGGGGGGACAGACCATAAGAAAGAAACACACAAATAAGAGAGGTATATGTCTCCCAACCCAAGGGCAGAGAGCGTTTCTAGAAGGAGGCCAACCTGGGCCGGACTCAGTTTCTCCTACTGGGGAACGGAATTGCCAAACAAACCTGCAACTCACACCTTTTCCGCCAGGGGGCGATGGCGCCCCGCGAGGATTTGGGGTGTATGGGGCCAGGAGGGGCTCCGCCAGATCCACCCCGGGCAAGACCTCCGAGAAGGCGGTGGGGCGGCCCCCTTCGCGCCTTCCGATTGGTTTCTTTCTCGCAAAAGTGGGGCAAAGGCACCGCCGCAGGCAATTAAAGTAAATCAGCTTTTTACATTGATTAAGGAGTCGGGGGGCAGTTGCCCTCGGTTCTACATTTTCAACTTTGATTTCTGTACTTGAATTCCAAAACTGAACTTTCAAATCCCGAATTGGAGCCTTCCTGGCTCTCAAAGTTGCAAGTTCGAATCTTTCCGCTGTCCGCACTCCCGATTCCGCGTCCTTCTTCCAAACAAACTCTCCAAGTTCAAATTCCAGCCGCGTCCCGAGCTCCCGGCGACTCCTCGAGGCCGGACCTGCTCCCCTCCCAAACCTTCCCCTAATCCCAATTTAGTTTCCTCTGCGCCTCGGAAGGACTGCAATGGGGACGGAGAACATGGGGACCCCTGGGGACCCCGTCCCTTATTCCTCCGGCCGGCTCTGGGCCGGGGGCGGAAAGCCGCCGGGCCGAAAGCTCTGGAAGCGGGGGCGCGGCCGAGGGGCGCAGTGACCAGGCCCGCGTCCCCACCCGCCTCTAAACTTAGCCGCGGTGACGCGCGGCCCGGCGATCGCGGCGGGGCCGGGGACGCAGGGGGGCCTGAGCGGAGCGGGGCGGCTCCGCTCGCCGAGCCTCTATTTATAGCGCCCGGAGCCCGAAATAGCGCGGAGCGGAGCGGCCTGGATGACGCGGGAGCCGCCGGGGGCTGACTCACCCGGCCCCGAGCAGCGGCCCCCGGATGAGGGGCAGTGGACACTTCTGGCTGCGACCCCATGCCATCCCGGGCACCTTGTCTGCTGGGACGTCCCGAGTTTCCTCCGGTCACTGTGGATGGATATGCAGCAAAAGGGACAGGTTGCAGCATGAGAGGCTAAGGTCAGATCAGAGGTGGGACTTCCCCTAAGGTGCCCAGAATTGAGGAACTAACTTTATACAAGAAGAGGGGAAGGAGGGAAATGAACCACATACACATGCCTATTTTTTCATCAGCAATAGGACTGAGGCGTCTTAGGGGCAGAGAAAGGGACACAATAACCTGGCCAGTCAACAGGCCAGAGCTATCCCCCTCTCCACTTACCATGGTTCCTTGCACGCTGTTCCCATTCCCTAGAATGACCTTCTCTGCCTCCTCAGTCTCAAGAACTCATGTTCTGCAGGGACCTGGCACCAAGGGCAATCCCTGACAAATGAAAACTCTGTGACCCACTGGACTGGTAGCCCGATGAGGGCAGGGCCAGGCCCTTCTCCAACATCACCATGTCCCCAGCACTGCCCAGCACAAGACAGGCCCATGGAGAAATGAGCTGCATGAATAAAATGCTGGTAATAAAAATAAGATGACGTTTTCCACATTACAACAGCAAATGTTCGTTGTATACTACATTACAGGCACGATTTGGAGAGTTATTTCCTATGGGTCTCACTACAACTCTAAGAGGGAGGCGTTCTTATTTTTTTAATCATCATCATTCCCATGTTTGAAATGAAGAAACCGAGCTTCACAGGAGTCCAGTTGGCCCCAAAGGTGCTCAGCCTGTAGGTCCTTCAGCACCCAAAGCTAAGGAACGATTATCAAAGTGGCGTCCACGGAACTCTGGGGAGTTTCCTCAGCGCTGTTTCAAAACGTCTAAGAGGTCAGAATAATTATCATTAGATTAAGACACTCACCTGCCTTTTTCACTTTCATTCTCTCCTGAGTGTACAGTGCAGTCTGCAGAATATCACAACAGCCTGAACACAGAAGAAGATGTGAGAACCTAGCTGTCTTCTGTGGAACCAGATACTTATCTATTTTTATTTTAGTATCATTAATATACAATTACATGAGCACCATTGTGGTTATTAGATTCCCCCCATTACCAGGTCCCCACCATATACCCCAATACAGTCACTGTCCATCAGCCATAGTAAGATGCAGTAGAATCACTGCTTGTCTTCTCTGTGCTATGGAACCAAATACTTTTTTGCAAAAATTTGAACCCTCATCTCACTAAATTTTGGTTTTGTTTTGGAAAATACGGTTACTTTTAATTTAAAAGTATATTAATCTTAACATGAAATTGATTTTTTATTTGTAAACGAATCAACTATTTCTTAAATTCCCCAGTTTTATTTTCTAATACAGTGAATGACCATTGATAGATATAATCTACATCAACAAATACTCTTTATAGAGTCCTCAATCATTTTTAAGAACATAAGAGATTCTGAGACTGAAGAGTTTAAGAAGCACTGAACTAATAATCATACATATACCTGGTAAGTGTTATACGAAGGGCAAGAATGTGGAACATCATTGTAAATGGGGATGGGTAAGGGGAGGGCTAGAGAAGTCTCTCTGTCAAAGGAGCATTTAAAAGGAGATCTAAAGGATGACTGGGAATTTTGCTACATGAAGGAAGGGAGAGCTTTCAAGGCAGTGGGAATAACTTGCGGAAAGGCCCTGTGGTAGGAAATTGCTAGGTGAGAAACATAAAGAAAGCCCGTTAGCTGGAACACAGGGAGCAGTGGGGAAAGCGGCAAGAAATAAGACTGGGCAATCAGGGGACCATATCATGTAAGGCCTTGAAGACCATGTAAGTATTTTGGATTTTATCCCGAGTGGAGAATAGACTGTAGGAGAGTTAGGATGGAAGCCGGAAGCCCGGTGAGGAAGTGATTGCAGTTGACAAGAAAGATCAAGTGGTAGCCTGGACTATGGTGATAGGGAGTCAAAAGCAATGTTTAAGTGTGAAGGGCTCGCAGTAACATGAACCAAAAAAGCAGACTGGGGAAGAGATAGAGAATTTTGACCAAGACCCTTAGGCATGGAGAGACTTGCAGGACATCTTGGTGGGAATGTCAAGTAGGCAGGATGAAATTCAGGGCTCAGGATTGAATCTGACAGTCACAAGTGTACATGTAGGTGGTATTTTTCTAGTTTATTAACTCCTTATTGCTGTTATAACTTCTGGTTGGTGAATGCTATTTATTGTTGATTGACCTTCTAACAGGCAACCTAGCCAAATTCTCATATTAAAATAGTTTGTTAGTTCTCTTAGTTTTTCCTTGAAAACGATCCAAATGGCAGTGTTCTGTCTTACCTTATGATCTTTTTATTTTTCTTGTTCTATAGCATTTTCAAAGACTTCCAGGACTATATCCATCAGTAAAGTTGATTGATTCTCATACACTGCACATTACAACCCTGAGATAACTTATTTCATTATCCCATTTCATAGAGAAACTGAAGTTCAGAGAGGTTAGTCTCTTGCCCAAGGTCACAAAGCACATAAGCAACAAAATCAGGACTCCAACCAGCTTGTGTTTTCAACCTCTGCCTTAAAAGAAACTCAACAAGCATTCTATATTTTTCCAACAGGCAAAATACTCTGCAAGCTCCCACAGAGACCCCTGGGTCTTGGATGAGAAGCTGGGGGCCTGAGAACTGGCTCTGGCTCCACCCTCTCTCAGAGCTTCAGTTTTCCTCCTGTGAGGAAAACTGGAAGAGAGCATCTGAAAGCCACAGAAACTGCCTTCAGGGCAAAGGAAACAGGCCCCAAACAGATTGTATGCATTTCCTGCGGCTGCCAACAAACTACCACAAACTTGGTGACTGAAAAAAAACTGAAATTTATCCTTTCACAGTTTCGGCGGCCAGAAATCCAAAATCAAGGTGTTGGCAGGGCTGCACTCCCATTGAAGTTTCTAGTTAACAATCTTTCCTTGCCTCTGCCAGCTTCTGGTGGCTCCAGGCCTTCCTGGGCTGTGGCCCCATCACTCTGATCTCTGCCTCAGTGGTCCCACGGCCTTCTCCTCGATTATGTCCGATTACCTCTGCCTTTCCTTAATCACGACACTTGCTGTTGTGTTTAGGACCCACACAGATAATCCAGGATGATCTCATCCCAACATCTTTCATTACATTTCCAAATAAGCTTACATTCACAAGTCTCAGGTGGATTTGGGAGGGGCGGGGTGCACCATTCAACCCATTACACAGATCAAAACAGAAAAATGAGAACGCAGACTTACATGGCAGAGTTTAGATTGGGAGGTGTGGAAAGCTTTGTGATTGCACATGCCCATCCCAGCACAGAATGTCGGAGAGCTTACCCCAGAGAACCCAGTGGTCTTCATGCTCTACACGTGGCCGAGAAGTTGTGGGCTCCCCCTGTGCTCCTGGACATCTTCCACTTTGAGGGTGGGAAGTCTTAGGGAGAGTTTTCCATTCTTCAATTGTTCATTGGAGCTGAGGAATTTTCTCTTTCACAAAACTCCAAGTAACAATAAAAGCCAACACTCATACAGTACTTAATATAGGCCAGACCCTGTTCGAAGTGTATCAGTGTTTAGTACCTATTAATCCATTTAATCCTCACAAAATCCCTATGGAGTCTTGTTGGTGATTCCCCTATTAGGACGAATAAACTAAGGTAGAGAGAGGTTGAGGTCACAGTTTGGAAGTTCCAGAGCTAATCTTTGAACCCCACAGTCTAGGGTCTTGGCCATAAACCATGCTCTCTAATGGAGGCAGCTGTTACCTGTTAAATCTGGACTTTGAGGAATCCACACTCCCAGATCCATGGACGGGCCACCATCCACTGCAGCCCCGCTGGACATGGCAGCCACTGGCCACATGTGGCTCTTAAGCACTTGAAATATGGCTAGTCCACAAAAATCTCATGGACATAAACATGAGTGACTTCTTCATGAACATATCTCCCCGGGAAAGGGAAACAAAGGCAAAAATGAACAAGTGGGACTATATGAAGCTAAAAAGCTTCTGTACAGCAAAGAACACCATCAATAGAACAAAAAGGTATCCTACAGTATGGGAGAACATATTCATAAATGACAGATCCGATAAAGGATTGACATCCAAAA